CCCCCCCCCCCCCCCCCCCCCTCCGTCCGCTCGCCTGTTCCTTGGCCAGGTTTGTTACAGCAGTTAGGCCGTGCGAAGGAAGTCTGGCGAGTGTCATGCGCATCCCCCTCCCACACCCCGCATCGGACAGAGTTTTGTGGTGTTGTGCCCGTTGTGGCGTCTTTGGAGTGTGTTGACCCTCTCCGGTGTCGACTGTTGCCTTGTAGAGCACAAGACTTCGTGTTTTGCACGGAAACTTGATGCTTAATAGGGAAGTACCATGGTGTGGCATTGTTGGAATCCACCCTCTGCCTTGAAGGTGTAACGGTGCGGTAGTAGCTGTTGCCCGTTATTCTGGTTCGTGTGGACACGTGTAGCATCTCCGGGGCAAGCGTCGGTGTCCTCTGGTTTTCGGCTCTGCGATTGCCTGGTTGACGTTCGATGTGATTTCTCCGTGCCCGCCTGCGCAAGCCGGGTACATGAGTAGTGCATAGCTGTTTCGTGATGTTAGATATGATGGGACTCCCTGCCGGTCGCAAATCGGTGTTGAGAGACCATGATGCTACAGGCAGGATCGTTGCGTTGTTGGACATGCGTTTGGCAGGGGGCGGGGGACGAGTTTATCCTAGATACCGGTGACGGGCAGCGTTTGTTCAAACTTTCGTGCGAAGAAGAGCGTGGAGCTCAGCTTTTGCAGGCGAAAAGGATGTGCAGAGTAAAAGTGTGCCGCAGTCGGGCCCCTTGATTGCGCCAAGGGCGGCATTTGGCATGAACGGGGAGCACTCGGTGGCGGGGGGTGCTTGCTTGGGGTGCACTGGAGCGTAAGGATAACTCTTGATGCGAAAACGCACCTCCGTCCCGCGGGGGGATACGGCCGCTAGTTGGAAATGACGATGATTCTACCTCCGGCCGGGAAAAGAATGACAAAACAATGCTTTTCTTGTCCTGGTCTTGTCTCGAATTTTGAAAGAGAGGCTGGCGTCCTTGCTGTTGTTTTTTTTTGTTACGGCCCTGAGTGAGGTTTGGGGAAGCGAGCTTGATAGTTGCCTCAGTCCAGACATACCCTCGATATTGAAAGGGTGATTCGACGGACCCCCCCCGTCGCGCCGCCGTCCGCGGGTCCCACGAGCGAGGAGACAAGAATGTCCCGTCATTTGCTCTTTTTGTCACCATCAATTTAATTTTGCGGAAGACGTTTTGTGTGTAAACCTTGCTTGTGCTTCCACCAGTGTATCAAAGCTTGGAGGACACTGATTGTCTGGCTTGTGGCCTTAGGTTTTGCCGGAGGAGGCGTTCTGGTGTAGGTTGCGTCCGGCGTGCCGGCACAATTTCCCAGAAAACGAACCCCAACATTTTCATTTCATTGCCCTCGTAGTTGTCCCGCCGATACTGCTGCTGCTGCTGCTGCTGCTGCTGCTACAGCTGGGGGGGCGGCTACGGCCCGACGGTTGGGAATTGCTGAGTAGCCTCGAGAAGACGGTCGAGCAGAATCTCACCGCAGCAGCAACAACCGCGACACCCGCGCCAACAAAGACGAGTTGTGAGACTACCGCCCCCCACACCCCGCGATTTTCTTTTGTTTCCCACGTCCGCGGTCCGGGCAACAATGATCGTTTGTGGCGTGATTCTCGGTCGAGTGTTTCTGTTCCAAGCCTCGCACACCAAGAGTCGAGTCACGTTGAACACCACCCACGACAACGGTCATCCGGCACGAAAGGGGCGCCGTAGATTGAATCCCCCACAAGTTTAAGAAGCACTCGAAATGAACGTACCCAAGGGGGCGAGGGCGAAAAGGTGTGCGTGAGTGCCTTGCTGTTGCTGCTGCTGCTGCTGTTGCTGTTGTGGGGGTAGTAGTCAAAACGAACCCTCTCCTGTGGAAGAGACGTGATACTTTGTCCTGATACATGAAGGGTGCGATGTCGTGAATGACCCCCCGGTTCCCCTCTCGATGGTGGAAGGACGGATGGATCCCCATCGGAGTGTGTTTTTGGGTTTTCCACAGTAAGGTGGCGTCGTTGAAAACGCCCATTGTTGAGTGTGTATGGGGGGCAAGGGGGGGGGGGGGGGGGGNNNNGGGGGCGATGGCGTGTCCGTTGATGGGGGGGCGGGGGCGTTACGTACGTCTACGCTCGTTCCGTTCAGTTTCAGATGATTCCCATGCGTCTTTCTCCTCAAGTACACGAAGCACGTGAGAGATTGATGAAAGGGTCGAAAGGTCTGCCGCACCTCGTGTTGGATTGGTTTGTCGAGTGACGTCGTACAGTCGCGTTGTTTCGCGGGCGGAGGCAATGGTGAGTTTGGGGACTCCGAATGAATCGAGGATTTTGTTGTACCGGGGACGCATCGTGCTGTGTTTACGCGAGCCGGCGTGTGCCTCTTGCGTGTGTCGATACGTACGCTTCCATGTGTTGAGTGCGGTGCATGCACTCAATTGCCTCTGCTACCTGTGTCGCCGCACATGACACAGTTGTGCATGAAATGTGCCTACAAGTTGTGAAGAAACCCCCCAACAGTGCCTTGCCCCCCCCTGCCCC